TTCTCGGGCATTGCCAAATGGGCTGGCAGATTGGTGCTTCTTCCAAGCAAATCCCCCACCCCCACCCTATCCCCAGCAAATTGCAGCCTCCCGCAGCCCTGTCTGCAACCTCTGCGCTTGGCAACTGCAGACCCGGGTCTTCCTATTGGATCTGGAAGAAGAGGCCGGTTGTGGGTCCCGACTGCCAGGGACTGAACTTTGGAGGTCATCTAGTCCAACCCCCTGCTCAGGCAGGAAATCCCACCGTATACCATTTCAGACAAATGGCTGCCCAGTCTCTTCTTAAAAACTTCCAGTATTGGAGCATTCACAACTTCTGGAGGCAGGTTGTTCCACTGGTTAATTGTTCTGTCAGGAAATTTCTCCTTACTCCTAGCTTGCTTCTCTTTGATTAGTTTCCATCCGTTGCTTCTTGTCCTGCCTTTGGGTGCTTTGGAGAATAGCTTGACTCCCTCTTCTTTGGGACAACCCTGAGATATTGGAACACTGCTATCCTGTCCCCCCTCGTCCTTCTCTTCATTAAACTAGACATTCCCAATTCCAGCAACTGTTCCTTATTTGTTTTAGCCTCCAGTCCCCTAATCATCTTTGTTGCTCTTCTCTGCACTCTTTCTAGAGTCTCCACATCTCTTTTTACATCGTGATGACCAAACCTGGATGCAGTATTCCAAGTGTGGCCTTACCAAGGCATTATAAAGTGGTATTAACACTTCACGTGATCTTGATTCTCTCCCTCAGTTAATGCAGCCTAGAACTGTGTTGGCTTTTTTGGCAACTGCAGCACACTGCTGGCTCATATTTAGGTGATTGTCCACTAGGACTCCAAAATTCCTCCCACAGTTACTACTGTTGAGTTAGGTGCCACCTATACTGTACCTGTTCATTTGGTTTTTCTTGCCTAAATGAAGAATCTTACTTTTTTTTAACCAATTAATTTCATTTCATTAGATAGCACCCAATGTTCAAGTCTGTCAAGATCTTTCTGTATCTTAAGCCTATCTTCTGGAGTGTTGGCTATTCCTGCCAGCTTAGTGTCATCTGCAAATTTGATGTGTTCACCATCTAGCCCCTCATCTAAATCATTGATGAAGATATTGAAGAGTACTGGGCCTAAAATGGAGCATTGGGGTACCCCACTGCACACTTCCCTCCATGTAGATGCAGTTCCATTGAGGACCTGTACACCCCGAGTACAGCAGGTACAGCCAGCTATGGATCCATCTGATGGTGATGCTGTCTAACCCACATTTTTCTAGCTTATCAAGTAGTAGGCTGTGGTCTATTTTATCAAATGCCTTACTGAAGTCCAAGTAAATTATATCCACAGCATTCCCCTGGTCCACTAATTTTGTCACATGGTCAAAGAATGCAATAAGATTTGTCTGGCATGATCTGTTTTTGACAAACCCACGTTGGCTTTTGGTTATGACTTTGTTTGCCTCTAGGACAGTGGTTCTCAACCTGTGGGTTGGGACCCCATTTGGGGTCGAACGACCATTTCACGGGGGTCGCCAAACAACGCAGTCCGCCATTTCCCCCCCCTTTTCCTTAGCTGTGCTACTCCCTTTTATTCTATTGGCTTTTGAAAGCCAATAGAATAGACTCTTTGAATAGAGTCTAATTCTATTGGCTTTCAAAAGCCAATAGGAATGGTCCAGGTTGTCTCTGCCCTGCTGAGCCCGCCAAAAGTCCCATTCTGCAAACGGTGCTGCACCAGTTGAGTAGTCCTCGACTTACGACCAGTTGGGAGTCGCGGTATTAAAAAGGTTGAGAACCACTGCTCTAGGAGTTTGCTGATTTGTTGCCTATCTTTTCCAGAATCTTTCCAGGTATTGAGATCAGGCTGATAGGTCTGTAGTTTCCTGGATCCATTTTCTCCCCTTTTTTGAAGATGGGAACTACTTCAGCTCTTTTCCAGCCCTCTGATAGTTCCCCAGTGCTCCAGGAACTTTGAAAGATATAGTTTTAGTGGTTCTGAGATCATGTCTGTCAGAGTGGACAGGTGCTCACTTATGATTTTCTTGCCTATTTTAACTTGTGTTTCTAAAGAGGGATCAAAGAGGCCATTTATGTCAAAATTGAATAGCCCTCTCTCAACAGAGGGGGGGGGGGGATATGACATCATCTATCTCCAGTCCACAACATAGTCCTTTCAACAGTTCCAGGAAGGCTCCATACCCATTTGCACTACTCAGGTGACCCTGAGGACCCAGGTAAGCCTCCAGGGGCATCAACAACTGGCTAAAAGAATGCAAATGAATCCTCCTATTCCCCACCATCCAGTCAGAGCTGAAGAAGCTTCTTGCATGAGAAGTGAAATGTCTTCAAGGAAAAACAAGGAAATCCAGTTGCCTCCTGAAAAAGCTTTGGGACAACCATGACCTGGATGACTCCAAAATATCTCCATAGATATTTTGTTTCTAGGGCAGGACAAGAAACAATGGTTGGAAACTGACCAAAGAGAAAAGCAACCTGGAATTAAGGAGAAACTTCCTAACAGGAAGGACAATTAATTAGTGGAACAACTTGTCTCCGGAAATCGTGGGCCCTCCATCACTGGAGGTTTTTAAGAAGAGACTGGACAGTCACCTGTCTGAAATAGTGTAGGTTCTCCTGCTCAAGCAAGGGGCTGGACTAGAAGACCTCCAAGGTCCCTTCCAGTTATTCTATTCTGTTGTTCTGTTCTGTTCTATTCTATTCCATTCATGTTTTTATGGGACTGTTTTTTCCCTTTGTGTAAGGATGGATGCAAAAAACAAGTTAAGTAATTCTGCTTGCTCCCTGTTGCTTGTCACCTTGCCACTTTCTCCCACTAAAGCAGTGGTTCTCAACCTGTGGGTCGAGACCCCATTTGGGGTTGAATGACCATTTCACGGGGGTCGCCAAACAAGGCTGTCCGCCATTTTTTCCCCTTTTCTTTGGCCACGCCCCTGGCACCCGGTGATATATAAGTGGTTGGGGGTCACCACAACATGGGGAACTGTATTATGGGGTCGCGGCATTAGAAAGGTTGAGAACCACTGCACTAAAGGATCGTTTCCTTGACGTTTTTCTTGATTTTTACATGTTGAAGGAAGCTTTTTTTTGTTTTTGTCACAAGCCTTAGTTCATTTTCTTAGCTTTCCTCACTTCATCTTTGCAGGCTTGGGCCATTTGCTGATATTCTGCCTTATGTGCCCCTTTCCACTTTTTTTACTTGTCCTTTTTGTCTTTCAATTTCCCAGAGTTCATTATGCAGCCATGCTGGTTTCTTTAGAGAGATGTTGTTTTTCTTCTTCATTGGTATTGTACTAGACTGGATTTTTATAATCTCACTTTTTCAAAATTTCCCAAGCTTCTTGAGTTGTTTTCCCCTTGGGGATTCTCATGCATGGAATTCTTTCCAAGCTCTAAGTTTAAGTCCAAGACTCTATTTGACTTTGTTCTATAGGTTATACTTGATGTTGATTCCAATATTGCATGATCATTGTCCCCCAAGGCTCCTGTAGCTCCACCACCTTCTATCATTTCATCTCTGTTAGTGAGAATTAAGTCCAATATTTATTTATTTATTTATGAGACTTATATACCGCTTTAAGTGCAAGCACTCTCTAAGCGGTGTACACCAGTAAGCAATGTATATATATATATATATTTACATTGCCCCCAACAATCTAGGTCCTCATTTTACCTACCCCGGAAGGATGGAAGGCTGAGTTAACCTTGAGCCAGTGAGATTTGAACCGCTGACCTGCTGAACACAATATGGCTAATCCCCTAGTTCCCCTCTTTACTTTTTGGGAGACAAAGTTGTCTGCTAGGTTTGTCAGGAGCCTGTTTGATCTTCCACTTGGCGCAGAGTTTGTCTCCCAGTTGATGTCAGGGTAGTTAAAGTCCCCCATTACTATTGTGATGTGCTTCCTACATACCTTAGTTAACTAACTAGCAAAAAGTTCATCTATTTCCTCTGGTTGGTTGGTTGGCCTATAGTATTCACCCTTGGTGACGTCGTTTCCCCCCCTTTTATATTGACCCAAATGCATTCAACACAGTTGTCGCTATTGTTGTGCTCTATTTTAAAGCAGAAAGTTAGCTGAGCAGGTGGGGGAGGCAGCAGAGACAATCCAGAGATGTGATTTGCAGGAAAGAATTTAGGGGTAGGTTTTAGTCAGCCCCTCTGTCCTCCATTGTCTAATTCTCCTTTGGGGGGGGGATGGCAGGCCTCCCCCTTCCCCACCTTCATAGTATCTGAAATAAAATGGGCTGATGGACCGAGGCCTTTTACTAAGCAGAACATCTGTTTTTTTGCAGCAACAGAGCGCTTTTGGAAAGAAAAGGGGTGTCAGGGTTTCAGAGAAGTTCGTGACATTCATAGAAGCTCTGAAGAGAGTTTTAGTTTGCGTCATGGACTCCAAATGAAAGCAGATGCTGAAAAACCTAAAATAGATGACTCTACACAAAACAGATGTCAAGCCAAGCCAATATCTCCATTAGCGATCATGGCATAGATAGACGCGCAGTGTAAAAATAATTGGAGATCTTGCAGTTCACCATCTAATTCCAAACTGCTAAAGCTTCTGCAGCCTCCAGATATCAACACCTGGATCCTCACATGTACTTCTGAAAGCAATGACTCCCTTTTGTAAGAGCCAGGAGGTGGGCACCGATGCCTCTGGGACGGCCAACGGGGCACTGCAGGCATTGGTATCTTTCACCCACCGATCGCTTGGCTGGACCCGGCAGGACTCGGTGGTCAAGCTTGCCTACAAGATAGTTGGGGAATAAAAACTATGGAGCCAAAACCCAAACTGATGCACCCACCCAGTGGATTCACAGAGGGGAGAAAGCATTGAACTCTGAGGGGCGCCACAAGGAAAGGTCTACAGGCACGATCCCTTTCCCTCCTATCAACACTGAAACAGGCCACCGAGTAAGAATCTGACCCCCTCACTCTCCCAACTCCATAGCCGGTCCAGCCAAATTCTGCGGTCAAAGGTATCAGAAACTGAGAGGTCAAAGAGCACAGGTCTGGCCAACTTTAATCTCCATACTGTTCTCCAGTCTGACGCCTGACTGAAACGGGTCGAGATCCTCTGCAACTGCCATTCAACCACTTTCTGCACACTTTTTCCCCAAAAGGAAAGGCTGGAACCTGGCTTAGTTATCCAGGAGGAAGAGGCCCAGCGACGGCCTGTTCAGGAGCGCGCACAGCACGGTTTCCCTCAAGGAGGTTGATACCATGGCACGCACGCACCGCCTGGTCCCTTCCCAGGTTGCCTTCACAAGCCAAGAGGGCCTGGGCTCTACGGACTGCTAGGAGGGCATCCTTGGGAATCGCTCCATGGGCAGTTACCTTGGCATAGCCTCGGATTACTGAATATGAGGAAAGAAGATCCCAGACAGCAGCCACCCCCAAAGGTTCTCTGAGAGCAGGGCTACTCCAGGTCTCAGGCTTTCAAAAGCAGGTGCATCAGCCCTCCTGGCCAGATTGGGGGTGGGGGGCTCATTGGGGTGGGGTACGGAATATCAGCCCCTGCCTTTTTCTCCAGCCCTGCCTAGCATCCCACAAGAACAGGGCTAGTGAGGCGGCAGGGCAGCAAGAGGTGGGCTACACTGCCATCTTTTTGGAATGGCCCAGGGCAAGTGTCTGCATGGGGGGCTGAGACACTGCCGTGCAGTTGACTGAGGCTTTGCAGTTTATATGAAGGCGACCCACAATTGTCCTGATAACATTTTGGGTAAAATCTGCTCCTGTACTGGCACGGTTCACACAATATTCTGAGTTATGCATGTGGTGTGAAGAAGACCATGGAGTCCTTGGCACTCTCTGAGCTTGGCTGGTTGCTTGCTTGCAGATCATTCCTAACCCAGAGATCATCCCCCTGGGGTCCTCATCTCCTTGCCCAGCAGAGAGGGAGCAAAGCCGACTGGCGCAGAGGCCGGCCTGTCTGTCTGAGCAGGCCACCCTACCCTGCTGCCCGGGACAAAGGGAGAGGATGCCACCCAGCACCTCCCTTCCAGACAGGAAGAGAAAGGCAGCTGAGCCGTTTCCGCCGGGAAGCACTGGCTTCCTTTGGCCCAAACACTCCCCCTCCCCCTTGCCCCAGCAGGCTTTCTCAGCAATGGGCTCCAGGGGCCACAGATCTGCAGAAGCCGCTGCCGGGTTTCTAGCAAAAGGAAACTTGGCTTCTAGTCTAGTCTTATTGCAACAGGCTGTGTGGCCGAGTTCAAATCCAACCTGGCTTGGGGAGGAGGGTGGCGTTTGGGCCACAAGCCCCTGTGTGGAGAAGTAAGGGGGGGGGCGCTAAGGAAGCTGTGGGAAGGGTGTTGCCCAGGAATAGGACAGAGTTTGCACACTTCAGGGAGGAGGGGATGGCCGCCTTTTCAAAGGAAGGCAAAGACTGTGAGGCCAAGATCCTCCAGAGAAGGACTGCTCTTCTCCCCGTGAGGGCTGTTTGCACAACATGCTGAACTGTGATTGAGCAAGCTGTGGTTAACAGGAACTTCAGGATTTACAGGAGTCTGCAGAGCTTTCTAGGCTGGAAAGAGGTTGGCCGGATGGGGAATAGTGGGCTACAAGACCCCAGCCAGGGCCCCCTGGAGAGCTAACTGGTGGCTGACCCAGGTAGCAGTCTGTGGCTAAGATCACAACTCAGCAAGAAAAGGGATCCGATTGGCTGCTCCCGATTGGGAGGCAGAAATCCAGCCCTTTGGATCCTCCAGCAGCCCTTCCGGCTTTCCCCTGGAGGCCTTTGGTCTTCGGGTGAGAAACACCGCCATCTAGTGGCCATGGCATTTTTTGAACACTAACACAGACTCAAGAGAAACTCCACTCCTCCCAACATGGATGCTGTCCGTGCCTTTGGGCTCTCGGTGGGTGTTGCCGACTGCAAAAATAAGGATGGGTGGAGAATAGGAGGAAAGCCAAGGAGCTTCTTCCCTGGATTCCAACAGCAGCAGCAGCAGCAGCAGCAGCCACATAGCAGGAGGTGGAGTGTTAAGCACCACTGGCTGGTGTTGGTTTGTGTTCTTCAGTAATAGATTTTTGTCACTGCAGCTGATCCCTTCAAATGTAGCAAAATCTTGTATTTTCTATGCTGCTATTAAATGAACAGTGCTACCTACTTAGCAGGAAATAATTACAATTATTTGGGATATAACCCAGAGGCTCAGAACTGAACACAGAATGGCCTATACAATAGAGGTCCACCCCTGGAAGGAAAACGGCTTTGCTTTCCACTGGGAACAAACCCCTTTTGGTCAGTGTCGCTCCCTCCAGGCAGCTGAAATCAGTAGAAAATGCTGCTGCACAAGAAGGTTGGCACAGGGAAGCAGATGAGAGGGTAGATGAAGGAAACTGTAAACATTCCCCAGAAACCTACCGGACCCTCTTACTGACAGTGGCCCCTGTCCAGAGGCTAGCACAGGAGGCAGGGCCGGTCATTTTAGGGTGGGTGACCTCCTGTGCCTGGACCCCTTGCACCAGCAGCCAGGGGTCACCCATGGAATTATCCCCATGGAGCAGGAGCGCAGCTGCCACTGTGTCCAACGGGCCGGGCCGGAGGACGTTCTTGAACGCGAGGAGTCCAGTCCACTGTATCACCCAGTGCTTCTTCGGCCCATCTCCTGTCCTCTTGACCCACAAGATGTCAAGGCCCAGCCGTCCAGATGCTGCTCAGATCCAGGCGGACAGGCGACCAGTTCAGATGAGTCCCAAAAGAGAAGCAGTTTCCGCCCCCCCCAATAAGAATCATCTCCTCCCTGTCAGGCACGAAGACACTGCTGTGGTTGTGTAACATCAGGGGCCACTCCAGAAACGTCTGTGACAGATGAAAGGGACAAGAGGCAACTTTAGGAACCAGGCAGCGGAGAACACAAAAACAGATCTACCTTCTCCCTTGTTCCCCCCTAAAGGTGGGCATTAAGTGGCAAGAGGTGGGCAAGTGAGCTCCTGGTTCAACGCAACAGGAAATGTGAAGCAGGACGATAGTCTCCACCTGCCACGAGGATCCCAGGAAGATCCAGGCACATCAAACCACAGCGCAGCACTTCCTGAGAAGTCTCTTGCTCCCTGTTTCTGCTCCTCTTCCTCCCCAGCAGCCTCCCTTCCCCAACAGCCTTGCCCTGTGCTGGTTCTCCAGACCTCGCCTCCTTCTCGGCATGGATATCTTCATGCCTTTCCCAGCTCCTGCTGCTGCTGCTTGTGCCCTGGGCAGCTCTGGGTAAACTCTGGACCTGCTCTTGAGAGTACCTGAGCGATACCTGCCTTGCCTTGCCTCCTCCTCCTCCTCCTCCTCCTCTTGTAAATTAGAGAGCATTCGGAAGTATTCAGACCCCCATCACTTTTGTCAATTTTGTTATGCTGCAGCTTGTTGTTGAAATACATTTTTCCCTCATTAATCTACACTCAGTACCCCATGATGATGATGAAGTGAAAACAGAATTTTAGGAATGTCTGTACATTTATTAAAAAGAAAAAACTGAAATATCACATTGCCACAAGTCCTCAATGGAACCGCATCTACATGGAGGGAAGTGTGTAGTGGGGTGCCCCAGGGCTCTGTTCTGGGCCCAGTGTTCTTCAACATCTTCATCAACGATTTGGACGAGGGGACTGGAGGCTAAAGCATATAAGGAAAGTTTGCTGGAATTGGGTAGGTCTAGTTCAATGAAGAGAAGCACGAGGGGGGACATGATAGCAGCGTTCCAATATCTCAGGGGCTGCCCCGAAGAAGAGGGAGTCAAGCTATTCTCCAAAGCAACCAAAGGCAGAACAAGAAGCAACAGATGGAAACTAATCAAGGAGAGAAGCAACCTAGAACTAAGGAGAAACTTCCTGACAGGTAGAACAATTAACCAGTGGGACTCCTTGCCTCCAGAACCTGTGAATGCTCCAACACTGGAAGTTTTTAAGAAGAGACTGGACAGCCATCTGTCCGAAATGGTATAGGGTTTCCTTGCCTGAGCAGGGGGTTGGACTAGATGACCTCCAAGGTCCCTTCCAACTTTATTATTATTATTATTATTGATCATCGCACAGTCAGCCAGATGTTCAGACTGGATTTGGCATTTTGTCTACCTATCGAGTCCTTACCCAGGACCTGGGATAGGCAGATGTGGATGTTTGATGGTATTACAGATATCGTCGCAGGATGGAAGCAGTTCCTAGTAAGGCCGCCTTTTGCAATTGACTAATAGCGAATTTGTCAATGCCAATGGTGTTCAAGTGGTGCTCCAGTTGTTTTGGGATTGCACCCAAGGAGCCTATGACTATTGGTACTACCCTTGCTTGCTTTTGCCACAGTCTTTCTATTTCTATTTGTAGGTCTTTGTATTTTGTTATCTTCTCCAGTTCTTTCTCTTCTATTCTGCTATCTCCAGGCACTGCCACGTCCACTATCCAGACTTTTTTGTCTTTCTTATCGACAATTGTTAAGTCTGGGGTGTTATGTTGCAGGTGCTTGTCTGTTTGAATTCTGAAGTCCCAGAGCAGTTTAATTTTATCATTTTCTATGACTTTCTCTATTTTATGATCCCACCATTTTTTGCTTACAGGAAAATGATATTTTTTGCAGATCTTCCAATGCACCATTGTTGCTACTTTGTCATGCCGCTGCTTGTAGTCAGTCTGTGCAATCTTCTTGCAACAGCTTACCAGGTGGTCCACTGTTTCTTCAGCTTCTTTGCATAGGCGGCACTTACTGTCTGTTGCGGTCTTCTCAATTTTGACTTTGTATGCATTTGTCCTTAAGGCTTGGTCTTGTGCAGCCAGAATTAGTCCCTCGGTCTCTTTCTTCAATTTTCCTGCTCTTAGCCATTGCCAGGTCTTGTTAATATCTGCTTTCCCAGCTATTTTTTTAATGTATTGGCCATGTAGTGCTTTGTCTTCCCATTCCTCTATTCTGTTCTTCATTTGGTCTTTCTTGTAGGCCAGTTTGGTCTCTCCAATAGTCAGTAAGCCTTCCTGATATACTAATTTCAGTGCATCTTCACCACTGTTCTTCAGATATTCTTCCAAAGCCATTTTTTCTTCTTCAACCATCTGATGTACTTGTAGCATTCCACACCTACCTATTTGCCTTGGTAGATAAAGTCTGTCAATGTCACTGTGTGGATGAAGGGCATGATTCATTGTCATTATTTTTCTGGTCTTCCTATCCATTGCTTTTAGTTCTGCTTGAGTCCAGTCCACTATTCCAGCTGTGTACCTAATGACTGGGATTGCCCAGGTGTTGATTGCCTTTATGGTATTTCCTCCACTGAGTTTGGACTTTAAGATCTTCTTCACTCTCTTGATGTATTCACCTATAATCTTTTTCTTGACTTCAGTGTGCTTGATGTTGTCAGCTTGAAGGATACCCAAGTATTTGTAGTACTCTTCCTCATCCAGACTCTTAATGTTATTTTCGTGGGCATCTTGATTCCTTCAGTTTTCATTATTTTTCCTTGTTTGATAGTAAGTGTGGCACATTTGTCCAAGCCAAACTCCATTACAATATCTTGGCTATATATACGGACAGTGTTGAGCAGCGATTCTATTTCAGATGATGTTTTTCCATACAGCTTCAGATCATCCATGTAAAGGAGGTGGGATAGTCTGGCAGATGTTTTTGATGTTTGATAGCCATGTCCTGAGTTATTCAGTATTGTTGACAGAGGAAACAGTGCAATAACAAATAGTAATGGTGATAATGAATCTCCTTGAAATATTCCTCTCTTGATATTAACCTCTCCCAGCCTCTCACCATTGATCTGCAACTGTGTCTTCCATTGTGCCATTGATCTTTGCACAAATTTTCGATGTTTCTACTGACTCCTGTTATTTCTAGGCACTTGATTATCCAATCATGTGGCAGAGAGTCAAATGCCTTTTTGTAGTCAATCCATGCCACATTCAGGTTGGTCTTCCTTCTCTTGCAGTTTTCCAAGATCATTTTGTCTATTAGGAGTTGATCTTTTGTTCCTCTGCTATTGGGGCGGTTTCCTTTCTGCTCAGGTGGAAAGAGATTGTTTTCAACTAGATGCTGTTGTACTGCATCAGCTACCACACCAGTTAGTAATTTGAAAGTTGTTGGTAAGCAGGTAATTGGCCTGTAGTTACCTGGTGTTGCCCCTTTTGCTGGATTTTTCATTATTAGATAGGTTTTCCCAGTTGTTAGCCACTTTTCAATTTCTCCTCCTTGTAGTATATTGTTGAACTGCTTGGCAATGAGTGGGTGTATAACAGTTAGATGTTTCAACCAAAACCCATGCAGTTCATCTTCACCTGGTGCTGACCAATTTTTGATTTTCCTTGCTCTTTTTTCTACCATTTTTGTTGTTATTACTAGTTCTTTCATTTCAACTTCTGTTTTATTTGCATCCACCTCTTTTAACCAAGCCGCATCCTTGTTGTATTTCTTTGGGTTATCCCATATCTGTTTCCAGAACTGCACTGTTTCTTCCTTGTCAGGTACTGACTGATTCATTGCAGTTTCTCCATTGATGGACTGGTAGAAATGTTTCTGATTAGATTGAAATTGGAGGTTCTGCCTATAGTTTGTTGTTGTTGTTGTTATATTCAGACCCTTCACTCAGTACTTTGTTGAAGCACCTTTGGCAGCAATTACAGCCTCGAGTCTTCAGGTATGATGCAACAAGCTTTGCAAACTTGGATTGGGGGATTTTCTGCCAATCTTCCTTGCAGATCCACCCAAGCTCAGCCAGGTAGGATGGCAACTGTTGGTGGAGAGCCCTTTTCAGATCCCTCCGGAGATGTTCAATAGGGTTCAAGTCAGGGCTCTGGCTGGGCCACTCTAGGACATTCACAGAGTTGTCCCTAAACCACTCCTGTGTTGTCTTGCCTGTGTGCTTAGGATCATTGTCATGTTGGAAAGTGAACCTTCGGCCCAGTCTGAGCATCTGAGTGCTGTGGCTGTCGCTGAGGATATCCCTGCACTTCGCTCCACCCAGCTTTCTCTCAACCCTGACCAATCTCCCAGTACCTGCGGCTGAAATCCCCCCACACACACAGCACGATGCCACCACCGCCACCACCACGCTTCACAGTGGGGATGACATTGACCGGTGCCTGGTTTCCTCCAGACAGAACGTTTAGAAGGGAAGCCAAAGAGTTAGTCCTGGTTTCATCAGATCAGAGAATCTTGTTCCTCACAGTCTGAAAGTCCTCCAGGCGCTTCTTTGTAAACAACAAGCAGGCTTTCACGTGTTCTGCACTGAGGAGAGGCTTCCATCTAGCCACGCTGCCATAAAGCCCAGATTGTTGGAGAGTTGACCTTCTGAAACTCTGTCCCATCTGCACACAGGATCTCTGGAGATTTTCAGTCATCCAGGTGATAATTGTCCCAAAGACGCTTTTTCACGAGACAACTGGACAAGTTTCTTATTTTTCTTTGGGAACGTTTCGCTTCTCATCCAAGAAGCAGCTCTGAAGCATCTTTACACGATCTCTGGAGCTCAGTCAGAAGGTCCACCGGGTTCTTGGTCACTTCTCTTACTAAGGTCCTTCTCCCCTGATTGCTCAGTTTCACCGGATGACCAGCTCTTGGAAGAGTCCTGGTTGTGCCAAACGTCTTCCATTTGAGAGTCATGGAGGCCACTGAGCCCTTAGGAACCGTCAGTGCAGCAGAAATTTTATTGCAGCCTTCCCCTGATCTGTGCCTTAATAATCCTGAGCTCTGCAGGCAGCTCCTTTGACCTCATGGCTTTTGCTCTGCTATAAGTATGCATTGTCAGCTGTGAGGCCTTCTATAGAGAGGCATGTGCCTTTCCAAATCACGTCCAATCAATTTAATTTACCAAACGTCAATTCCAATTAAGGTATAGAAACATGTCAGCAATGATCAAGAGAAACGGGAGGCACTTGAGCTAAATTTCAAGTGTTGTTGCAAAGGGTCTGAATACTTACGCCAATGTGAAATTTCTGTCTTTTCTTTTTAATACATTTACAGACATTTCTAAAATTCTGTTTTCACTTTGACATTATGGAGCACCGAGTATAGATTAATGAGGGGAAAAAAAGAATTTCAACAACTGTAGAATCAGGTTGCCACATAGCAAAATTGACAGAAGTGAAGGGGGGGGGGTCTGAATACTTTCTAAATGCCCTGTAAATCCCATTCCTGGGCTCAGCGTGGGCTTGAGGCAGAAACTACAGTGGGCCCCCTCACGTTCTGCTCAGGTATCTGCTTCCTGACACAGGATTTATCAATTCAGAAGTGCATCTGTAGCAAGGCTCCTGAGGAAAAGCAGCAAAGGCCGTTAGGACAGAGTAACTCAGCTCCTCCTATTGGCTCTAGCAAGGGAGGAACTGTATTCCTCCAGCAGTTGTGAACAGCAAAACAAAGGTCAGGATTGAGCTCGGCCTGGGAACACCTGTCTTCTGCAAAATAAATTTAACAGTCTTCTGTGGAAGACAACGGAGCTAATGAACCAGGTAACTCAGTACCAGCATCAGTACCAAAAGAACAGCCTCTCTTGCTGCTGCTGACCCTGACCGAGGGTTCTTCGCCTCCGTGGGGAGAAGAGCCAAGGGGAACCCCAAGTCTAGTTGCCTCAGTTTCGACTCACTGTGTCAACACGATACTCCGCCAGGGTCCTTGTCGCCAGGTCTATCACGGCAACTCCTGGCACCGAAGGAGGGCTCAGCCAGACCCCACCTACGAGCAAAAGCTTCCCACGGTGCACGTGAGCTGTGTGTGAATACCTGGGTGGAAGACCAAAGAGAGGGGGGGGGTGTTAGTCCTCCAGCGCTGGGCCGGTTCCAGCTTCTCCAGGCCCCCAACGCTCCCCTACTCCCCCGGTGGCTCTGCCACTCTTGAGAAAACCAAACTCTGCTGGGTGAAAGCAGGAGATGGGAGGGTCTCCTCTGCGTTCGATGGGAGGAGCAGAGACCCAGCCAAACCTTTTTGTTTGGGGGTGGGGAGTGGGGGGGCACAAGGGGACCTTCCTCAGTAGAGAAAGGCTGGGATCCATCTGATCTCCTAGCAAAATACGCCTTCTCTGCCACCTTTTCTAATTTGTCAGAAAGAATCCCTGGCTTGTTTGTGTGAGGCCTGCCCACGAGAGCGCCCAAAGTCTATTCCTTGGCTTCAGGAATGTGAAGCAGATTCTGAGGGGGTTTCGAGGGGTGAAGGTGTCTCGTGTGGCCCAGGCCATGCAGCGCCTCCCACTTTCCAATGACCTGGGGACGGGACAGGCACTGGCTGAACTGCAGGCAGGCAGGCAGGCGGAGCTAAGTGTCTGGGTGTGTGTGTCCTCCCTCCTCATTACCTGTGGCTACCCTTGGTACTCTAGATCAGGGGTGTCAAACTCAATTTCACTGAGGGCCGCATCAGCACTACGGTTGCCCTCAAAGGGCCAGTTGCTGTCCCCTTCTCTCCCTCAGGCTTTCCCATCTCTCCTCTCCTCCCTGTCGTCTTCTCTCCCCCATCACTTCTCCTCCTTCCCGCCAAAGCCCCTCCTTTCATATCCTCTCCTCTCCTCCTCTAGGGGTCCACTCACTGCCAGGCTGCCTTTTTCATGCAGTGCTCACCAGCTGGAGCTGGGTGCGCCGATTCTGGGGTCCCCACCAAGTCCCGGCAGCCCTGCAGCCCCAGCTCTTTCCCCAAAGACTGCATGCGGCTGCCGGCTACCACCACCCTGCTGGGAGCCTCACTCAGCTGAAGCTGCGAATGCTGATCCTGGGGCCTCGGCAGAGCCCCAGCAGCACCGCAGCTCCAGCTGACTCTCCCCCAGACCTCTCTGCCGCTGCCACCGCTTCAGTTGGGTGGGGGAAGCGCTGGTAGCCAAGCAAGGGGCCGATGATTCTGGGAGTGAAGATATAATATCCGTGTGATGCAACTGCCCTCCTTAAAGACAGCCCCCTCCTGAGCCCTCAGTCACCGTGTGGCAGGCTGCCACCACGTGGTCCACACGAGGCTCTAAGCAACTGCTTAGGCCACAATTAACAAGCAGCGCCAGGCCGGCTAGCTTCCACTCCCTCCCAGCTCCCGCTTTCTCCAGCACTGCAATTTGGACCTAGATGGAGAAATGGCCCCTCCAGATGGTCTTCCCTGAGGCAGAACTGAATCCAAAGCCAACATCTCTTACGTACAACTCTTCCCTTGCAACCCATCTCTAGATGAAGGTGCCTGTCCGTCCTGAAGCCAGGGCTCCACGTAAGTCAGAGCCCACCTCCCCTCCTTTCCTTCCCCACCTGGGGGAGAGCGGGTGCCCATTGCTGCTGTCATCTGCAGTGTGTGTGGCTGTTCCGTGAGCCACAGCCCATCGGTTGGGAGGAGCAGGTCGGCTGGTCTAGAAGAGGAGCCTCCATCACGGTGAAGCCCCTCAAAGGCACCACCCCCTCCCCAGCCACAAACGAACCCGTGGCCGCTTTCTGAGAGCGATATAGCATCTGGTTCATTTTTTAAACATTCCTCCGTGCACAACTAGCTCTCAAGTAAGTGCAGCCTCGGCTCCAGGTTCTGTTCTCTGAACTAACTTGGGTTAACTGCAGGTTGGCAGCCGGGCGGCAAGCGAAATCCCTCCTGCCTGAGCAGATGAGCAACCGACTCACCTGGGCGTGAGCGGGGGGCAGGTCTCGAGAGAATGCCACCGGAAGCCTCTTGCGGCTGGCTTCAGAAACAGGAGGCTGCCCAGCGGCTCCTCAGAGGCTGCCAGGCCGCCAGCGATGAGCACCCCCCCTGCCCAGCTGCAGGCGCTGTGCGAGTGACGGCCGGCTGGAACGGGACCCTCCACTGGAATCTGACAAGGGGCAGCAGAGGGGGGGCATTGGTGAGACAGGCGGCACAGAAGCCCAATCAAAATGAACGAGCGAGGTACGAGCCGGCAGCCTTCCTTGCCCAACTGAAGCGAAGGGCACCTCTCGTACTTCCCTGGAACGAAGTGCCTGCCCAAGAGGGAGCTGGCAAAACCAGAGCACCTCCCAGAACTGTTTTCACTGTCTTTTTTTCCCCCCTTAGTAAGCCATGTTATGAAAAATGCCCCCCCCCAAGCAGCATCCTGTGCCAACACAAGGCATGGATTTCTTAGTTGATGGTCACACACAACAGTGGGTTAGCCTTCACAAGGAATGCACTCACCTATCTTGGGGTCAAATCAGGCTTTGTCTAATAAGTGCGCCAAACTGAAAAAGACGGCATGTACGCAGGGGGTGACAATATTGTTGCCAACTGCTTCCTTTTCTGACCAGAATGCACAATGCGGAATATGTCATGACGACCCTTACCAAACCCCCACCCTTCCAAAGAGGTGGGCGGCTCAGCTAACCCAGCAGAGCCATCATTTGGAGTGAAAGCAAAGGCGCCCAGCTAATGAAAATCATCAGCTGGCAAAAACTTACTATGATTGTTAAAAAGAAGATAGTTTCTTTCTCTCAATAATCCAAGTCTACCCTGGGTGGGCCAGCGATTTAGAAAACCAGAAGACTGGAGAAGGGCTAATGTTATTCCAATCTTTGAAGATGCCCGAAAGAAGACGCAGGAGGCAACGGAGCCATCAACCTACGCCTGCTGCAAAAGATAAATCAAGCAGGGGTCTACAAGCCCTTCGAAAGGAACAAGATGAACGCTAGCAGCCTGCGGTGTGTTTGTTATGGATCATGGTAGGCAAATCTTACGGCTCTTTTGGAAGCGACCAGATTAGCTGGCCAAGATGCTTGGATGACACCATCATTTGACCGCTGATCACAGCCTTCTTCTTGACCAAATGGGAAACTGTGCGATGGGTGGCTTGATAGCTGGACCAGCAGCCACCCACAATCTCTGGTCCTTAATAAAACCTAACCCTTAATCGAGAGAGGTGCATAGTGGGGCATGTCCAGGATTCTGTCCTGGCTAAACCTAGATTTGGAAAATCTAAATGGTCACCCACTCACTCTTAGCGACCCTGGGCAGCTTACAAACAGTAAAAACCCAGCATAAGAGAAGAAACAGTAGAGGCATGAGCCAGCACGCCCTGCAGCTGCCCAATGAGCTAATGCGATGTGGGCTGCCTCAACCGAGGCACAGGGTCCAGATCACAGGAAATGACGTGTCAAGCTATGGAGACCACTTGCGTTCAGAGTTGCCATGCGAGGGGGCGGGGGATGGTTGGGAATGCACAGGCGGATTCTATCCGATGAGAACCAAAGGCCACTAAAGGAGGAATGTGGTGGCAAACAGAGACCTTCTTCTCATAACATCTGCTCTAAGATTAATTGGACAATGTGACCTGACCTGTCGGAGAGGGGAGGGAAAGTTTTACTCTTTTAATTATCCTTTTCCCACCATATTGCCAGAGCTGGTTTTCTTTTCAATAGTGCCGATATCTATATCCAATAAAGCATTGCATTAGAGATCGGAAAGGCTCCGGTATATTTGCTTCGTTGGAATCTTTAGCCGGAACCTTGACCAGCATCGCACTGCTCAGACCTCGCCTGAAAGACCGTCTCCAGTTTTGGTGACCTTGATACAAGAAGGATGCCGAGGAACAGAAACGAGTGCAGCCGAGATGAGGAGGGAGGCTACACCCTGCGGAAAGTAGCTAGAGGAACTCGTATGTTTGGCCTGGAGAAGGCTCCGGGGGATGGGAACCCAGCCTTCCCCTGCTTGAAGGGCTTCCCAGGGGAAGAGGCTAGGTGTGCCTTCCCTGTGGAGCCCTAGGGCAGGACGAGAGCCCGCTGGGTGGAAGCCCTACAGAGAAAGACCCAAACACGGAATAAGGAAAATTTTCCTCACGAGAGCTCTCGAGTAGCCACTACTTGGAAAAGCAGGGCCTCCACCACTGGAGGTTTTCAAGCCAGTCATTTATTTGGGACTGGCCTAAGGATTTCTGCTGGTCAGGGGGCTGGACCACAAGACCTTCCAACTCCAGGTTCCTATGAGTTTAAGTCCCCTGAGGTGTTTTACCTGGCCAGACTTTAAGCAAGTTAATTACTATTTCTGACAGGGAATAAAATAGAATCGAGAAAGGAGACCCTTGGGGTCCTAACCTCTTTGGAGAAGCTCTTTACACCATTCTGTTGGCGGAAGGGATTACACGGAGGCTAACCTTCAAATTCAGGCACAACCCACTCACCCATCTCCCAGGGCTCTCCATCCGGCCACCCCAGCCAAGAAGAGGGCCATTGCACTTAAATGGAGGACAGGCTCCCAATCTGGCCTGAGAGGCCATAACCCATCCGCACCTGCTGGCAGTGGAGCCCCTCCAAAAGCAGAAAACACCAATCGGCTCGCACTGACTGCCCAGAACTGCAGCCTCCATAGACAAAGAGGTAAGCCTGTCCTAGAAAGAGAGCAGAACGTCAGGCCCCTCCCCACCTTCCCCTCTCCCCCTCCTCCTGGCACCCGACACAGCTCAGGTCTGCCAGGGCTGGGGTCCCCAACCCCCAACCCCCGATCCGTGGACCGGCACCAATCCGCAGCATGTCAGAAACCGGTCCACACAAATAAGCAAAGCCCCATCTGTGGGACACAGGCAGCACATGAAAACCGTCCTCCTCTGGCCCACGGAAAAGGCCCCTGGTGCCCAAAAGATTGGGGGCCACTATGCTAGGGAGAAGAGCTCCTCCTCCCATAAAGCCGAAGGACTCCGACTCCTGAGCCCCAGGACCATTGGCTTTGTTCTGAGGAGATCCTGGAGCATTTGCCCACTGGGTCGCATGCCTGTCAACTCTTTGCCAAAAAATATTATTGCCCAAGTGTGTCTGACAAAACTGGGGGTGCTGAGTACAAGGCACAGGGCAGTGGGGAGAGATTCCCAGAAGTCTCCCAGAAGAGCTGCTCAACTTTGCCAGCGTCGTTCTCTGCCTCTTCCCCCCCCCCCGCCGCCCACGGGGTGAGTTTTTCTTTCCTACCTTCATGGGTGACTTCGGTGGCAGTGTGTCTCCAGCGGGGCACAGAGAGGCCCTCCACAGGCGGCAGCAGAGCAAGCTCAATGATGGGACTGCTGGGGCTCAAAGGATCGGCATCTGCCAGCACCTTTAAGCGAAGGGGTGGCAGAGCAGGGCTGACTGGAGACTTGCGGCCACCGAGCACGACAGCCCAGCCCGAACACAGGACGTTCATGGTGTGGAAAAGCCGCCCGTCTGCAGAGGAAGAGAAAGCTCTTGTAGCCAGGGAGAGCCCACTTGCCTGCACCAGAGGGTACCCCCATCTCTCTCGCTTACCCCAGGCCGTTCCTAGCTTGGCCAGCCTGACCTTGTCGCTTCTCCAACCATCCTCGTGCTTGACCAGCATATGCAGCTCAGTCAGGCGGCAGTGGCGCCCACCGTGGTCCCCAAAACCTCCAGCGGTTAGAATCACATCCGGGGCGAGAAGCACCGAACAATGGCCGTAGCGCTTCAGGCCAGCCACTGCCCCACCTGCTACGCAGAGGGACGCAGCCACGGTCCCAGCAAAGCAAGGGGCACAGTGAGCCGGGGGGCCTGCAAGGCAGAAACAGCCATGTCATTCCAGCAGCGTAACGCAGCCACCCCTGCAGGCAAGGCGACAGGGAGCCTCTTGCCTTCAGACGAAGGTGCCTTGGGAAAGGCCGATCTGGCTCCTGCAGCCTGCAGGAAAAGGTCCCCACACAGCCCCACAGTTTCCTCTTACCCAAACAATGAATCTTTCTAAAAGATCCATGGATCCTTCCTGAATTTAACCAAGGTAAGAAAGGTCCTGCCGCATCAGGCCAGGCTCACTTTGGCTAAGCAATTTGTGGCCAACCAGATGTGGCAGGAGAGCTCTCAACCAGGTGTGGAGGGACCACCTTTTCTCTCCATGGGTTGGAGGCACACTGCCCCCCTCCCAAGCGAACGTGGAGTCTTTGAGAACTGATCCAATTCTCTGGTGAGCCCCCTTCCCTTCCATCCCCTCTGCCATGCCCATGGGAGCAAATGCCACAGGTGAACCACAGGGGAAGAACAGCTTCCTGTTCTTCTGTCTCCTGCACTAGATCCAGCCTGGTACTTGGAGGGAAGGAGGGAGGAAACCTTTTCCCTGCCTTGCTTAATTAAGGCTATATTCATAAGTCAGATTTGGGGCACTTTTTGATAAGCAAAAAGAAATAAAATGTTATGAATTCCCCAAACTTCTTAAAAGGTACAACAAGCAAAATATAACACAAAGCAAAAACAAACAAACCCCAAATTATCTTTGCCAGGGGACCATCCTAGACTCAGGAAGCAAGGTTTGCATGGGGCCATTCCTCCCCCCCCCCCCAGGATTCCCTTCAGCCCTAGGGTAACAGAGCTGAGCTGTTCAGGGCTTCCCGAAAGCGGTCGAAGCCCCCAGGAAGGGAAGGTTGAGGGATGCACGGGACTGGTCTTCCGGTACAGGAAGGCATGTTGTAGACTTTTTCTCCAAAACGACCATGGTTAAGACAGGAATTGGTGGGGGGGAGGGATCCAAACCAAGAGGCAGGAGGAGGGAGAGCCCAGAAGGCCGCTTTATGGGAGATTTTCAGGGGTTGATTGGAGAGCCATTTCTTTGGGATGATCCGTGGATTCCTGAACCGGGTAAGGGAGATCCCTTCCAGTCCTAGGATTCTAATCTCACAGTCAGTGGCACCGTTGGCAAACTTAGCTTTTAATGTTTCAAAAGGTTAATGCTTGGTGTTTTAATGTATTAATGTTCTAATGTACTTTTTCCATGCCGTAAGCAGCCCAGACGGCAGTCAGATGGGTGATATATCAATTTAATTAACAAACAAACTGCCTCTGGAAGAGACCCTTTGTAAAGTCTGCTTAAAAACCTACACCCCCTTGGTATTCCATATAAATTAAGTAGGAATTAATCCATGGCATGGCCATGTTGAGGAAGAACCATTTTGGGGGTATCAATTTAATTCCTTCAGGAAATCTGTACGGACAAGAGGACGAAAAAAAAGACCCCTTAAAGCCAATGCAGCCTCTCTGAACAGAAATGCTTTGGGAGCTAGCAGAGCTAAGTCAACTTTGGATGGATTTAGGCCCCCATCAGGCCTCCCCGTGCAACTTCACCGTTCGGGGAGAGGAGACAGGACGGAAACATCCCCAGTCACCACTGGCACCCGGGGCAGAGGACACCTTGGGCTTCTTACCTTCCGTCCTGGAAAATGCAGGAGGTGCAAAGGCGGCCTCTCCCTTGTATGCGACCAGGATGAAATAATGGGAGCACTTCAGGTGCCATTCCTGGAAGAACACAGAGGTCACCCGCAGCCACAGACTCTCAGTCACAACAAACACCTCTACACAGTGGGGCATTCCTACTGTGTTTCCCTGAAAATAAGACCCACCCAGAAAATAAGGCCTAGCCTGATTTTTTGGGACGGGCCTAATATAAGCCCTGCCCCCAAAATATGCCTGGGCAGGTGGGCATGGCCAGGACAAGAGCCAGCGAGTGCACAGGGGCCGATGGTGTCCGGCTGCAGCCGCAGCCCACCGGCCCCTTGGTGCAACCCAGATATGTCCAAGCGCGGAGGCAGAGGATCCAGATGCATCCCACACTTTTCACCCAGAGGGAGACTGGAAGCTTCGTCTTCTGGCAAATGGGTCACTTGGAAATGGAGCGATTTGCTGGCTTAGGAGGCAATGGCAGGGCACGGCCCAGTAGCAGCAGGCCCAGCAGACTCCCCTGGGATGGTCCCACCGGCACCAGCTATGCGCTACTGAACTCTAAGCGCCTAGGCTGGAGCCTCAGGCTGCTAAGGAGGCAGAGGCTCCAGACAGGGATGGCGGCCGCAATGGTGCAGGCCAATAAGGAGCTTTCCACTGCCACTGCTTCCCCCTCGGAGCTGCAAGCACGAGGCAGTGCCCGTCTCCTTTAAGCCCACCAAGTCTCCTGTCTAAGCGCTTAGGGTTGAATAGCGCGCAAGTGGCACTGGCCAGGCCATCATGGGGGGGGGAATTCTGCTGTTGCTCGTGGCGGCGGCACCAGCACGCCTTGTGGCCTCCTGCCCCACGCGAGTAACCAGACAGTGGGATAGTTGTTGGCGGGTAGGTGGCCACAAAATAAGACATCCCCGCCAAAATAAGTTCTAATAAGCCTTTTGGTCCCCCCCCCCAAAAAAGACCGGATCTTAAGACGGTAGGACTTCAGGAAGTAGACTGGCAGCAAACCAAGATTAGAAACACCTTGTGCGCTTCTATGATAAGTTAAATGTAATATTGCTGCACACTCAAATGCAAGTAGGAATTATCTTATATCCTACTTTAAAACTTTGCCAACATCCTGTATATCATATTTTGATTCCATCGAATGAAAATACTCTTCTGCTGCCATCCCACTGCATTTCCACACTGGCCACGGAGAAATAATCTCCTGTCCTTGTGGCCAGCTGCAAGCCACCTCGCCTCCCTCTCCACATTCTGCCTACATCAGACAGACCAACCTCGAATTCGTCAAAGGGCTCCAGAGCTTGAATCCTCTTCTGCTCTTCTCTTGGAACAAAGTGCCCATAGAACTCGTTCATGTCCATGATGTGGCATTCCGTCCAGCCCTAAAGAGAAGGCCAGGGCATTAAGCCCGAGGCACAGCCATCCTATTTGCCCCCTCCGGTCTCCCTTCCACCAGTCCAAGGCTCACACCCACCCTCTGGAGAAAGCGCATCTGTTGGGCCTTGCAGTCTGGGTAGGTGGTTAGGGAGCGGAGCGGAGACTGTAGGCGGCTGAAGTGATTTTGCATGATATGGCCGAACGGGTCGCTGGGATGAATCTGCTCGTACAGAATGAACCAGGCGCTCAGAAAGTGCCCGGCTGCCCACTGAATCAGAGCATTTGACCTGGAATGAACCAGAAAGAGGGTGAAGGGCACCAGGGAAGAACAGCCCAGGCCACCCAACTGGAGGCCAAGGAGCCATCTGACACTCCCGCAAGCAAGTCCAAGTCCCCACAAGCTTCAGGACTGTTCACGTTTGCCCAGTTCAAAGCTGGAGATGGATCTAAGACCGTGACAGGAGATCCCACTTGGCAAAGCTTGGAAATAGCTCGTTCTGAATATCCTCTAAAGCGAAAGCAGAAGGATCCATAGATCCAAAACTCCTGCCACAATGAAAAACTTTTTTTTTTTTGTGCTCTACCTTATTTTGACCTTGTGACGCAGCAACCAGTGTCTGGGGGGGGGAGCTTGGGGGCTTCCAGTCTGCTCCTATTCTATCTCAGGGCTACTATGCTGCAATTTTCAGCAGTGCTTGATGCAGGGAGCAGACTTCCAATGGCCTTTTTGTGAGCATGGGAATTAATGTCTTGGCCTCAAGCTCAAAATACTGTGGACGGGAGGGACTCTCAGGTATGAAAATTTGGCTGGGAAGTTTGCTTGGCTCTAACTCTGTAGCTCAAAATGACAACTATTTGGTAAGCTGCATGGTAGTTATGTCTGCTGAATCAGTGGAATGCAAAAACAAAAAGTATACAGCAGAACCGGCAGGCTGCAAGGCCCTTACAAGGCAGGTTAAATCTAGGATGTGAAACACAACAAGTGATTCTAATCTTGGAAAGCCACAACCTGCTGAAATTTAACATAAAACCTTCTCTTTCAGGTGGGCTGCAACGGCCAAAGCACGAACCTCTCGACCTCCATGTAGGGCAGGACCACCTCCGCAAGGATCAGGGTGGGCGACGCGGGGTCCAGGCCGGCGTCACGCAGGGCCCCCTCCAGCAGGGCCAGTTCCGAGAGATCCACGCCCAGGAGCCGGTAATCTTCCCCGGAAAACCTGACGCTCCCTGCAGGGGAGGCGAAGGGCGCTCGGATGCCGGGCCAGACGGCTCCCTTCCTTCTCCCTCCCCTCCCTCCTCCGCATACCCACCGAGAGCCGCGGGGACGCCGCCTCCCGCTAAGGCGCGCAGCTCCGCCGAGCCGGAGATCAGGGCCGCTTTGCGGGAGGCCACCTCCGGGAGGTCCACCTCGAAGAACCGCCCGCCGCTTCCCGCCAGCAGCCCCGCCGCCTTCAGGCAGAAGTAGAGCGAGTCCCAGCCGGCGCCCAGCGACATCACCTGCGGGGGGACGGGGCGGGAGAGGGGTCAGGCGGGGCTGCTGCGGAGGGCTGGAGAGGGGGAGGGGGCCGAACTTGCCTGGCTGCGCGAGTGGCCCCGAGTGCCCAGCAGGAAGTCCCGCACGCTCCGCTCCACCGCTCGCGCCCGGACGTGGTAGCCTCTGCGGGGGGAGGTGGGAGGGCAGAGCGTGAGAGAGGAGAGCCCCGCCCCGCAGGGCGCCCCCCTCCCGTTCCCCCGGAAGCGCCCAGCGGGACGGGGCCTCACCGGTGGATGGCGGGGGCGCGGCGCGGGCCGCCCCGGGGCAGCAGCTGCAGCACGAAGCGGTCCGAGGTGTAGCCCAGGGCGGCGGCGGACCTCTTGCTGGCGGCGCTGCTGTCGCCAGTGCGGCTGACTCGCGGGGAAGGGAAGGAAGCCGAGGGCCGCGCGTCCCCGGCGCCTTCCCCCCGCCGCCGCCGCCGCCCCTCCATGTGCTCGGCCGCCTCTCGCTGCGGCCCCAGGCGGACTTCCGGGCCACGGCCGCAGCCAACTTCCTCTCTGAACGACCTTCTCGGCATGGCCGATTTCTTGCCCGCCCTCCTCCGCCGTTTCCCCCCTCCCATTTCCTGCAGCAGCGAGCTTCCGGGCCCGGCGGGCTTCCTGTCCGCTCCCAGCAGCCGTCCTCGCCTTCCTCTTCCGCTCTTTCCGTTCCGGCCCGCTGCTTTTCCTCGTCCTCTTTTTCCGCTCCGCGCGGCCGGGGCGACTTTCGGAACTGCTTGTTTAAGTTGGGCCCGCGGGTTGGGAAGGCCCGAATAGCACGACCGCAAGAAGGGGAAAAAGAAGCCTGGCAGGGTCGCAAGGGAACCGGGCCGGCCCTGCGTTTCCTGACTCCCGCAGGCGACTTAGGAGCAGCCTGGTGGAAATAAGTGAACTGACATTTTTTTACTGTGGGCACAACGGCACACATCAAAAATGAAATTTAGTGCCCACTTTCAAAATGAAACATACATGACACACACCTAAAACATACTGTGTACAACATGTGTATAGACCCATACCCCTACATATACATAGCAAATAAATATTAAATACTGTCCATCTTGAATATATAATGGAAGGAGGAAGCTTGAGAGTTCACAAGATTAATTAAGGTGACCAACCGTCCTCCCTTAGGGAGGACAGTCCTCCTTTTGTAAGTTCTGTCCTCCCTCGAAAAGTGTCCTTCTACATGTCCTCCTTTTTGATATTTGAAGACTAATCTGCAGAGCTTTTTTTTCCCTCATAGAACCCTCAGAATGGCATTCCAGCACCTTTTTTTGATGTTTTTTTTCAACTTTTGTATGAGCTCTGCTACTCCCCATATGGGTTTTGGAAAGCCAATAGGAATTGCTGCTGAGCGCGCCAAAACACCCGGCTGGCAAACTTTGCACGTGCAAGTTGTCTGTATTATTGTTGCAATGAATAAAATGTTTCTTTTATTTACGATATTTTTTTCTTCAATTTATTTGTGTCCTTTTCATTGTAAAAAAGTTGGTCACCTTAGATTAATGCTGTATGGAATGAAACTATGGCTGAATCTGGATGTTCTGCTACGGATACTACAAAGCCCCCTCCAAGAAGGTAACAAGGAAAACAGGTCCTGAAGAGGATGTGTAGTGTCCCAGATAATCTTACAGACCCTGCTCAAGCAACACTTCTGTGCTATGTCCTGGGTGGGAGGGAGGGAACTGCCAATGATCTTTTTGGCTGTTCTCACCACTCTCTCCACCGCCTTCCTGTCTGAAGCAGGGATGCTTCCAAACCAGACTGTGATGCTATATGACAGGATGCTCTCGATTGTCCCTCTGTAGAAAGTGGTCAGGACAGGGGAAGGAAGATGTGCTTTTCTCATGCGACACAGAAAATGCAGGCACTGCTGTGCCTGCTTCACCAGTTTCTCATTGTTGAGCGCCAAGCCAGCCTACTCGTTAGCTGCATACCCAGGAATTTGATGCTGGTAACCATCTCCACAGATGAATCATTAATTCTCTGAGAAGTGTGGCTGTGCCTGCTGTTATGTACTGGGCCTGCTGAATGACTCAGCAGGCTCAGGAGGCTGCAGAAGGCCCCAGGCAGACCATGTGGTTGCCTGGGACCAGACAGGCTGTCTCCAGCCTTGTGAGCATGTGCAAGGTGGGAGACTAGCCTTGCATTGATAGGCTGATGCTGTCCCTGCAAAGGGAGTATAAAAGGGCCAGCACCATTTTGTTTGCTGTTCTGTTCTGTTTATGATCTCAATAAAGAAGTTGTGTTTTGTTATTCTTGCCTCGCTTCAATGTCTCTGATTCTAAAATAGAGCACCTGCCTTTTTTGAAATCGACAATGATCTCTTTGGTTTTTCCAGTATTTAAAACTAGGCAGTTTTCCTTATACTAGTTCACCAACCCCTCAACCTCCTTGCGGTAAGCTTCTATCTTGTCATCCTGAATAAGGCCCATTACTGTAGTAAAGTGGAAAGAAATAGGATAACATGGAATAAAAATGAATAAAGTATAATGATGAAAAAATCACTAAAAGCAAAATGATGTGTCTGCATAATTCCTGGAAGAAAGCTGTGTATATTGAGAAACATTGTATAAAAAGTGAAACCTTCTATTCATTGTATGCCTGTGAGAAACTAACTGAATGATATACAATGTAGATTCCATATACAATGTAAGATTCCATGAATACTCCCTTTGTTCCTTAGAAAGGGAGAGCTATAAAGATTGTAGTTTGGACTCTCCCCCTTGTTCAGAAATTTGCTGATTGTTAATCGCTTCTGAACCTTTGCGCAAAAATAAACCTCTCTGTTTCACCCTTTGGAATTCATAAAAGTCCTTTTACTTTTTCCACAAGATTTATGTCGACTTCGCCGGGATTTTAAAGGGCTTTTAGGAAAAGGCTTTTTTTCCTGCCTGACAGATTGCCCTGGTGGGGGCCCCTCTCCTAAATGATGACAGCTCCAAAGCCGGCACCATGGCCTTTGTCTACAAGGAGAACTGGCGAGAGGAAAGGGAATTTACCCATCAGCGAAGCACTCAGTCAAGGATCCGTGAGGGTGACAGACAGGTCTTAAATCAACAAAGGAGTCTGGAAAACGTCTGCAGGCAAGTATTGTAAAAAGGGGAAACCTGATCCCTTTCTATCGGAAGAGGGGATTGATCAACCCCTAGAAGGCAAAGGCAGTGTGCTTAAGCCTTCAATAGGCAGGATTGGGGGGGGGGGTAAACCATCGCAGTTCCTGCTGAGTGATCGATGGTAGTGTATTAGAGAGATGGGAGGAAAACAGTCAAAGGAGGGCGTTGACCAGACGCCACTCCAGTGCATGTTAAAGAATTTCAAAAAGGGTTTTTCTAGGGATTATGGAGACCCAAATCCAGCCATGTTAAAAAGATTCTGTGAATCTGAATGGACCACCTTTGGTGTAGGGTGGCCAAAAATGCACAGGTTCATCAAATTGTGACTGGAAATGGTTATTGGGACCAGTATCCCTATATTGACAAGTGGAAAATCAACATTGCAGAAAGACCCCGATGGTTAGCAAAATGTCAGATAGAATGTGCTAAGATATATTTGGCAAGCCAAAAAGCCAGGCCTCAAACCAAAGCTAAGATTTTCAGCCAGGAAGACAGGGAGGAAATTGCCAGACCACCCCCCTACGTTCCTAGAAGAGAAGAAGGGAGAATAAATCAGCAAATTCCACCCCCTCTGCCTGAAAGAGATGAAGCCCAATTGTGAGGAAGGAAAGCCGGCGAGGAAGGAAAAATAGCAACAGCTGGATCCCTTCAAGAGACAGATAAAAGCTTGGAAAACTTTGAAAACAAAACATCAGTTTCTAGCAGAACTAGGAGTAGGGCAGAAGTGAAAACAGAAGAAAATATAGCCCCTCTAAGAGAGGTGTTGGTCCCTGGACCAGATAACACTAATATTTCAATGCTTCAATATGTTCCCTTTACAACCACTGATCTCCTTAATTGGAAATTGCAATTTGGGCCATTTTCAAAAAAAACCTCAAGAAATAATTGATCTATTTGCAAGCATTATATAGACCCATTAACCCTTCCTGGGACGACATGCAACAACTTATCTCTACTTTACTAGATGTTGAAGGCAGAGAAAAGTATAATTAAGAAAAATCAAAGTTTTAGCTAGAAGGCATCCAGAAGGAGGAGAATTATGAGACACACAGAAATTCAGATGCTGTTGAACAAAGACCAGACTGGAATTCCAATAATGTTCAACATAAGACTTTGCTAAAAGCTTATCAGATGTTATGTTTAGAGGCTTTAAGGGAAGCAGCCATCCGCCCAGTTAATTATTCTGCCGTAACCAATGTTTGGCAGGAGAAAAATGAATCCCCAACTGCTTTCCTCAGCCAATTAATAGAAGCTTACAAAATAAATACAGGTCTTGATATGGAGACAGCTCAAAACCGCCTGCTCCTAATTGAAAGATTTATTACCCAGAGTGCCCCAGATATAAGACGAAAGCTACAGTGGACAGAAGGAGACTTAGGGAAAAATATAGCAGAAATTATGGAAATAGCAAGAAAAGTGTTCCGTAACCGTGACAAGGAGGAGGAACGCAAATCAGATCAGAAAGAGAAAAAGAAAGTTGAAATGTTAGCCGTGGCATTGGGAGGAACCTACCTAGGATCCAATCAGTGTGCCATCTGTAAACAAGAAGGACACTGGCAAAGGGAATGCCCCCAGAGGAATGGCCAGCCCAGGGGACAATCTCGCCAGTATGGAAGAGGAAGAGGAAGAGGATTTAGGGGGACTTTCCAGAGAGGCTTCAGGAAAAGCTTCAAAGGAAGAGGGCATCCAGCTTATCCCAATCAGACAGAGGCAAGAGAAGAAAACATGATCGGCTTAGCTGACATGGAATGGGAAGACTGAAGAGGACAGGGTTCTATAGCCCCACCCCCAGAGCCCATTGTTAAAATACGGGTGGGAGGACAGGTTGTCCCGATGCTAGTTGACACGGGAGCCACCAGATGTGTCCTAAATAAATCCATTGGCAAGCAATCAAAGCAGACTATTCAAATTCAGGTAGTATCTGGAGAAACTCAAACAAGATTCAAAGCCTTGTGGTAACCGTATCTTTAAGAATTTGCCAACTTGCTTTAGTCAAGCCCTAGCCCAAGGTCTTGCTTATTTGAAGTTAGTCAGACAAGAGGATTGTTGTCTTCAATATGTCGATGATGTCTTAGTAACTGGGCAAAGCAGGGAGGATTGCTTCGAAAACACATCCAGACTGCTCCAATTGTTGCAAGACTGTGATTATAGAGCATCCAAAAAGAAAGCACAATTAGTTCAAAAGACTGTAATGTATTTAGGCTGTGAACTTTCACAAGGACAAAGAACTTTGGGCCCCTAGAGAAAGCAGGTTGGGTTACAGATTCCCATCCCCCAAACAAAATAGGAAGTTAGAGCCTTTTTGGGAATTACAGGCTTCTGTAGAATTTGGATTCCTAACTTCACTCTCACAGCTAAACCATTGTACCAAGTTTTAAGGGGACCAGAAAAAGAACCTCTTTTGTGGCAACAGGAACAAACCCAAGCAAT